TACTTCAATTTCTCGAAGAGGAGAAGTTTAAGGAGGCTGTACACAGGTATCTCTCTCTTTCTAATATATATCTCGTCAGGTGATGTGTAAATTTCAAGGAAGAAATTGTTTAAATCGTTTTTGTGTTTTTATTATAGTTTGTTTGTGAGGTTCAATTTGTCTGGATGTACTTGTTTCGCTGTTGCGACCTCTGTTTCCATTTCGAGATATAATGAGTAACAAAAACGTAAATTCTCACCCGAACTTTTTGGATTCTATATTTGACGAATATCGAAGCTTGAACTATGATGCACGGATTAGTAATCGGAGTTTTTGACTGGTTTATTGTGTGCTTTTGTGGGGAAATGTTGGATGGGTTTATCAATTAGATTTTCGTGTTACCTATTTTGCGATGAAGCTAGATTCTAGCGTTAAATCAGTGTGATTAGATGTTTATTACAGTTACGTGTTTGTGTAGGCTTGAACAAGAATCTGGATTTTACTTTAATGTTAAGTATTTTGAGGAGAAAGTCCATGCTGGCGAATGGGATGAAGTTGAGAAATACCTGTCTGGATACACCAAGGTTGATGATAACCGATACTCAATGAAGATTTTCTTTGAAATCAGAAAACAGAAGTATCTTGAAGCTCTTGATAGGTAAGACTTGACTGAATCCTTCATGTTGAATATGGTGATTGATATGTTAATCTAAGTTGAGACTACCTATGGATGATTGTACCTGACTTTACTAGGCAAGACAAGCCAAAGGCAGTTGAGATATTGGTAAATGATCTGAAAGTCTTCTCAACATTCAATGAAGATTTATTTAAGGAAATTACACAGCTCTTGACACTTACAAATTTCAGGTAATGTGCTCCTTTTGCCTAAAGTTTCCAGTTTATTATGATTTATTGTTCATTTACTAATTAAACTTTTCGATTACAGGGAAAATGAGCAGCTATCCAAGTATGGTGATACTAAAACAGCTCGTAGCATCATGTTAGTAGAGCTTAAAAAGCTAATAGAAGCAAATCCCCTTTTCCGAGAAAAGCTTGTTTTTCCTACCTTGAAGTCATCAAGATTGAGGACTCTGATTAACCAAAGGTAAGACTTCAGTTATCTGTTAGTTGTTTAAATTGGAATTATAATAATGATTTTGTGCTCTATGATCTATCCAGTTTAAATTGGCAACACCAGTTGTGTAAGAATCCAAGGCCAAATCCAGATATCAAGACTTTATTCATAGACCACTCATGCACACCTGCAAATGGAAGTATCGTACCTACACCTGTCAATCTTTCACCTGCTGCAGTCACGAAACCCAGTGTTTATACATCGCTTGGAGCACATGGTGTATGATGCCTTTTTTATATTAATGACCTTCTTGCCCCTAGGTTATGTACTCTTCTAAGTTCTAATAGATTGTTTTCATGAAATTACATTTCAGCCCTTTCCCCCTACTGCAGCCAATGCAAATGCTAATGCTTTAGCAGGTTGGATGGCAAATGCTGCTGCTTCTTCTTCTGTCCAGGCAGGTGTTGTTTCTGCATCATCTTTAGCTGCTCCACCAAATCAAGGTTAGGGTTGCACATTGAGTTCTTTGCATACAAGTTGGTTGTGTATTAGTCTTACTCTAACACTATCCGTAACTGGTGGTTATAACGAGTAAGTCTATGCGTGATTTGACTAGTAAACAAAAACTATGTAGTCAAAGTTTATTTGTTCCTCTTTTGCCTTAATGGGAAAAGCAATAGAAACTTAGTATTTTTCATATGTGATCCAACAGTATCCTTTTTGAAACGTGCTGCAACACCCCTTACAACACTTGGTATGGCGGAGTATCAGAGTCCTGATCATGAACAATTAATGAAACGTTTGCGTCCTACACAGCCAGTTGAAGAGGTAACACTAACATTAAAGAACATCTGCATATTCCATGTCTTATTGCATGAATTCCCATGAAGTTTATCATTTATGCCACACATATCTTCAGGTTACATATCAATCTACACGACAACAAGTGTCATGGTCCATGGAGGACTTGCCAAGAACTGTAGCCTTTAGTATGCATCAAGGATCAACTGTAACAACTATGGATTTTCATCCTTCTCATCAAACATTGCTTCTTGGTATGAATATGATGGTTAATTGTATTTGTATCCCCTCTTGAAATGTAGAATGTGTGTGTGTGTGTTTTTTTTCTTACTTTTTAATTTCAATCTTCTAGTTGGATCTGTGAATGGTGACATCACGATTTGGGAAGTTGGTTCGCGTGAGAAACTGACATCAAAATCGTTCAAGATATGGGACATGTCAACTTGCTCTTTGTCCTTTCAGGTTTGACTATATTTTGGAGGCCATTGACCTCTCATGTCTTGTTATTGAATGTAAATACTCACAGTCCGTTGTTTTGTAGGCCTCATTTACCAAAGATGCACCCATGTCTGTGAACCGTGTTAAATGGAGTCCAGATGGAAATATTATTGGTAGGTATGTTTTTATTTTCTTAAAATTGTAGGTCTGAAGTTAATAATGGTGATGCCACATTGTCACAGGTGTGGCTTTCAGTAAACATTTAATCCATTTATATGCTTATGGTGCACCAAACGATTTACGCCAGCAGTTAGAGGTGAGTTAACTTGAGATAATGCTGACATTTTGCCAGCTCAGCAAAGGAAAGTGATCATACTTTTGAAACTGCTATTTTATTTTATTTTTTCATGCAGATTGATGCTCATGTTGGAGGAGTGAATGACTTGGCCTTTGCTCATCCAAACAAACAGCTGTGTGTTGTTACTTGCGGGGATGATAAGTTAATAAAGGTGTAAATGCTAAATAGTTTCTAGAACCTTGTATGATTTAATAAAAAACAAGAAAATATCTGTCTCTCTTTTTATTCTGGAAGGAAACTAACAGGGAAATGGATCAGGTGTGGGATTTAACTGGACGAAAACTATTCAATTTTGAAGGACATGAAGCACCGGTTTACTCTATATGCCCTCATCAGAAAGAAAATATTCATGTATGTCACTATATACATACATACACAGTTTATATCTACAAATGATGATTCAGCTGTAATTTTTATTTTTCAGTTCATATTTTCAACTGCAATTGATGGTAAGATTAAGGCATGGCTGTATGACAACATGGGATCTAGAGTTGACTATTCTGCCCCTGGTCATGGCTGCACCACTATGCTATACAGTGCTGATGGCAGTCGGTAATATAATTTCTTGAATACATTTATTTATTGATCGAAAATGTTAATTGCAAAATTGCGATACTATCAACTGTTTCAGGTTGTTTTCTTGTGGAACAAGTAAAGAAGGGGAGTCTTCTCTTGTTGAATGGAATGAAAGTGAAGGAGCACTTAAGAAGACTTATACTGGTTTTAGAAAGAAATCAAGTGGTGGTGTTGCACATTTTGACACAACTCAGAACCACTTTTTGGCTGTTGGAGAAGAAAACCAAATAAAGTTTTGGGACATGGATAGTATCAATATTCTTGCTACCACAGATGCTGATGGTGGACTCCCGGTTAGTAAATTTCTTTTTCTTTTTCCACAATTATTTTATTATATCAATACATATTTAAATGATTATTATTTCAGATTTTTCCACGGTTGAGGTTCAACAAGGAAGGTAATCTTCTTGCTGTTGCTACTGCTGACAATGGGATCAAGATTCTTGCAAATGTTTCTGGCTTGAGGTCTGTAAGAGCAACTGAAGCCCCCCCGCCTTTTGAAGTATCAAAGTCTTCAGTTGAACCAACTGCAATTAAGGTGTGTGTTGTGTTAACTGATTTAACATTTTTGTTAATGTGATATTTATCAAGTAGTTCATGTTCTAAGATGGATCAGATACCTACCTCTTCTGCTATTGCTACTGCTAGTGCTGTTAACTGTAAAGTGGAGAAAACCTCACCTGTCAGACCTTCCAACTTTCTCGTGAGTCAACTATACTTCACTTCATTCTCCTCCCAAAAAAAAAACATAAATACGTATTCAGGGGGTGTTTGGGATTTCTTTTCAAAGCCAAAAGTCTTTTTTATAAAAGTTCTTTTCTTAAAAGTTCTTTTAAGGAGTAAAAGTTAAAAGTTGGTTTTAAAAAAGTGTTTGGATGAAATTTCTCGACTTTTGAATGCTTTTTACCTTTTAAATGGCCAAAAGTCACAAAAAGATACAATTTCATGACTTTTGAAAAAGCCCTCTTTTTCTTCTTGACAAAAAGTTATTTTGAAAAGTTCTGTTTTAATTCCCAAACATTTTTTAATCTTTTAACTTTGAAAAAGTTAAAAGTCTAAAAAGTTATTTTAAAAGCAATCCCAAACACCCTCTCAATACGCTTATAGCATACTTTTTTTTTATTACAGCATTGTAATTTGAAAATTCGTCCAAATTATAGCAATTTCTGTTATAGCATTGTAATTTGAAGTACAATGCTATAATTGGATAGAATTCTCATACTACAATGCTTTAATAAGAAAAAATAAAAGGTACAGTGTTGTAATAGAAAGAAATGAAAGTATAATGCTATAATACACAAATAAATTCCCTCGTTTATTATATCATAATCATATTACTTTCATTTGTTCCTATTACAACGTTGTACTTTTAAAATTTACCCAATTATAGCAATGTCATCCAAAATACATAGCAATTTTCAAAACTATATTTTGGTAAAATTTTCAAAGTATAACGTTCTAATAAGAAAAAAATTGGAAGTATAATTGGATATAATTTTCATACTAAAATGCCTTAACAAGAAAAAACTGAAAGTACAATATTGCTGCAGAAAAAATGAAAGTATGTAGCCTTTTTTTGCATTTAGCCCTAGAAATGCTGATTCTTGTGCATCTTGGTTGATCTTATGTTATGTTTAGAATGGTGATTCTGTGGGCCAAAGCTTAGAAAAGGCAAGGAATCTGGATGATGTGACTGATAAGATGAAATCATGGAAGTTGACAGAGATTGTAGATGCCGCCAACTGCCGCCTAGTCACCATGCCCAGACAGCTCAGATGCCTCCAATAGGGTAGGTATAATAAGAAAAGAAAATTAAAGTTTTTCATGATAATTTTGTTGCATGCAAGATGACAAGATAACTATGTGCGTGCAGGTTGCTCGACTTCTTTATACAAATTCTGGAGTTGGGGTTGTAGCCCTTGGATCAAATGGCGTTCAAAGGCTGTGGAAGTGGGCTCGCAATGAACAAAATCCAACTGGAAAAGTATTGCCCTTAATTACACTATTCATAATTTTGTTATCTATAGGGTTAAATACAAGAAATAGCAATCTACTTCTTTTCATTGCACTTTGAAAATCTATCCAGTTATACTATAGCAATGTCATTCAGATACAAAACAATTTTCACTGCTATAATTAGGTACAACTTTTCAGAGTATAATGTCCTAATAAGAAAAAAATTGGTAAGTACAATTACAATGCTATCATTTGGTAGATGATTTCTTGAAAAATCTTGCCTTAATAAATAATGAGGGAAAAGTTGAAAGTACAAAGCTATAATAGAAAGAAATGAAAGTAGGATGATGTAATACACAAAAAAAATGGAAATACATTACTATTTCTTGCATATAGTCCATTTTCTTTATTATTTACATGTTTTATATTTGATAATTATTAATTTATGAAGTGGACAAAGAAATGGACTAAATGCAAGAAATAGCACACTTCTTATCATATGAATGTACTTTGAAAAAATTTATCTAATTATAGCTGTGGCATCCAAACACAAAGCAATTTTTCACTGCTATGTAGGATGCTATAATACACATACACAAATATACAAAAGTACATTGCTATTTCTTGCATTGAGTGTATTTAATTATTATCATCCTTATTTTATATTTAATGATTATTAATTTGTTGTGATGTTTAAAGGCCACTGCCAATGTTATTCCACAACATTGGCAACCAAACAGTGGTCTTCTTATGACAAATGATGTGACAGGTGTGAACCTTGAAGAAGCAGTTCCATGCATAGCACTCTCAAAGAATGATTCTTATGTGATGTCTGCTTCAGGTGGGAAAATTTCATTGTTCAACATGATGACATTCAAGGTATACATGAACTCTATATGTAAAAACTAAATCTAATATCTTCAAAATTGTTGTACAATGAATTTAATTATGCACATCCTAATTTATTTTTTTATATTTTTAGGTTATGACAACATTTATGCCACCTCCACCTGCTTCAACCTTCCTAGCATTTCATCCTCAAGATAACAATATTATTGCTATTGGTATGGAGGATTCAACAATTCACATATACAATGTTCGGGTGGATGAGGTGATTATTTATTGTAATTATAATTATAATTATTCCCTTTGTTTTTGGGTCATTAAAGTAATGTAGTAATTGGTATGTGGCTTCTTAGGTGAAATCGAAGCTAAGAGGTCATCAAAAGAGGATAACTGGTCTTGCTTTTTCTACCCATTTGAAAATATTGGTTTCATCGGCTGCTGATGCTCATGTGAGTTTCTTCCCTTTAAGTACTTGAGACCGATTGTTGTTTGTATTTGTAAGGCTAAATGCAATTTGTGTGAGTTGGTATATTATGAGATTTTAGTATTATATATACTATGTAGATTTGTTTTTGGAGCATTGATTCATGGGAAAAGAGGAAAATGGTACAAATACAACTACCTCCTGGTAAGTCAGCTACAGGTGACACTCGAGTCCAGTTCCACTCGGATCAGACACAATTGCTGGTATCCCACGAAACACAGTTGGCACTATACAATGCTTACAAGATGGAACACATACGTCAGGTACAAATTTCAAATTAGCTACCTTGAAACCCTATGTTTCTATTCTAAGGTTCATAATATAACTATTATGTCTTGTGAATATATGTGTTGCAGTGGGTCCCTCAAGACAACCTTTCGGCACCTATATCTTATGCTTCATACTCGTGCAACAGTCGCCTAGTCTATGCTTCCTTTTGCAATGGCAATATCGGTGTATTTGATGCCGACAACTTAAAACTAAGATGTCGCATTGCCCCTTCTGTATATATACCAGTACCACTACCACCATCACTATCAAACGGGTAAGAACATACGATCTTAACCACAGTTAGTTAGTTAGTTAGTTCCTGGGTGGTGGTATCTTTGCTTTGCAGAAACCAACCAGGGCTCAAGTCTCCTCATCAGCTGCAGCTGCAGTATGCGAGTTTCAGTTCTAATATGTGGGCCAGCCACTAACCATTTTGTCTGTTTTATGTTTTTTTGCAGAAATCAAGGACCGTACCCGGTTGTGGTGGCAGCGCATCCGCAGGAGCAAAATCAGTTTGCGGTGGGAATGTCAGATGGAGCTGTTAAGGTAATAGAACCTTTGGAATCGGAAGGAAAATGGGGTGTAAGTCAACCTGACGAGTAGAATACTACGGTTATATAGATTTTTATTATTATTATTATTATTTAAGGTAGGGATGTGGCGTGTTTATAATAATCTTCAATCTCCCTAGTGGTTGATTAATTTTATGAATTTATTCATTAATCAAAAGCATAATGCCCCTATTTTACTCGCTAATTCTCTTACAGTATGTGTTTCCACAATGTGTGTGAATTGTGATGCTCGAAACCTTCCCAATCAAGAATGATATATTGGACTCCAGTTGTTTATGAAACGATTGTTGACATTTATTAGTTTTCAAAAACATGTATAAAACAATTTCTAAAATTTTATACAGGATTGAAATCATTTGAATCTAGTAAAAAATAGAGATTATATGCACAATTTATGATGTTTTTACAATTTTTTATAAATTAAAAAATAATGAATGATATGACAAATATTATTGTAAACAAACTTTTTATTAAACAAATTGTTTAATATTTTACTATATCTTACAAACGAAAATTAAATACATAATACCAAAATTAAGTACAAAATCCAAATTATTTCCAACAAAGTCTTCATAATATTACAAATAAGATAGAAGACCATAGAAATATTATGAAGCCACGAAATCCAAAAAAGAAAACTCATCAATAAACCAGTCATCAATAACTGATCAAGAAATATTTAAGACTATGATTTTAGATTTAGATGATAATTCAGAAAAAACTATTGTTAAAGATGAATTTAAAAAAGACAGTCATTTGTCAGTTTATTTGTCATGCCCAAATAATAATGTCTTTAACGAAGAAAGTCGAAGCAATAGTTCAGAAAATCAGTTTGATCCAAATGAAGACAACAATCAATCAAATGATGCATCCTTTTTTGATTTAGTTGCTAGACACGATCTCAACACTTGAAGACTTTTCCACATGTGACAAAAGAATTACTATAGAAGATTCTTCAAAAGATAAGAACGACAACTTTTAGTCATCAATAATAGACAAGACCATCACTACTATTATTATAAGATTCCATTTTAAATTATAGATGACAACTTTTATTATGAGTGTTACAAGCATTAATAGCAAAGACCTCCACTACCACAATTTTCTACCTGTCAAATTTATGAAGCAACTATCCAAAGACATCATAATGCATAAAAACGACACTTGTGTTATGAGTGTTACAAGCATTAATAGCAAAGACCTCCACCACCACTAATTTCTACATACAATTATGGAAATCATTTTGTAACGCCCTGTTTCTAATCGTTTTCCCATTTCGGGGGTGGTGATCAAGGATTGGGTATTAGAAGGCTTGGGACCCTTGAAGAATTGAGATTTGGACTCTTATGGGGGTGGATGATGTAAATTGGATGATCCGGGTATTCGGTTGTGCCTTGGAGCCAAAGGGTATTTTGGTAATATGTTAGCTCGGACTTTTATGGAAATTGGATGTTTGTTCAGGATATGGTAAGGTAGGTACGAGTTGATCAGAGCGTAGAGCTTCTCGTTACCTTTTCATGGATATATGGATCGTCGGAATCGGATTTATAACGAAGAAGTTATGGTCTTCGGAATATGTTAGGGTTTGAGGGGAAACCCTAGTACGTCGGGTGTACTTAAGGAGTACGTGGGGCGCACTGATGCGAAGGGAATTACGTTGGGCGTAATGTGGTGTACGCTTAGCGTATTGCGAGGGTCATATCGGGGGTGCGAGACCTCGTACGCGGGGGCGTACGAGGGGTAAAGTGAAAAACCCTAATTTTTCGTGATGTACCCTATATAAGCTTTATGTTAGCCTCTTTTGTTCATTTCTAAGCCAACCTCCATATCCTAAAAACCCTAATTCGTCCCTTAGCCCATGTGTGGTGATCTTGAGCTCTTGTGAGGTTTTTGTGGATCTAGAAGAAGAAGAAGAAGAAGAAGAAGCTTGAAGACTTGTTATTTGGAGGAAAGCTTTGAGATCCAGCAGTAGCATCTCCTTTTGGTGGCTTGGGAGGTATAAAGTTCAAACCTTGCCATTTTATTTCATGGATCTACTTCTTAGCTCATTTTTTGGTCATTTTGGTCCTTTTGGTTGGTGATTGGGAGTTATGGTCGTTTTGGGAGTTTGTCTTTGAAGATCTGGATATTCTATGGGTTCCTTGGTCATAAAGGTGCAAACTTTATGGTGGTTTTGGTCCCATGTATGTATTAAGTCAATTATTAAGCTCATTTGAGCTCTAGAGTCCCACACTAGTCATACATGCACATAAAGTTGGCAACTTTATGTGATTAACTACCTTGGGGAAGTCAGATCTGAGTTTGGATCCAAGTCTTAATTGATTAAGTGCTAATTTGGAAAGTTGACCATGGCTGATGAGTACGTTGGGTGCACAAGTATGTACGCTGCGCATACAAGCCTTTCATGCAGTACGCTGAGCGTACAAGCTGAGTACGCCCCCGCGTACTCAGCAAACTTGGGCTTCTTAATTTTAGGCTTCGGTTTTGGGCTTGGTTGTTTTGGGCCATGTCGGGCCATCTGGATTTTATGGTTAGGTTGTTGTGACTTGTTGGACTTCCTTGGGTGAAGGCCCACGAAAGAAATTGGGTCCAATTTGGAAAATTGGGCTATATTTGGGCCTTAGATGCTTATTTTGGATTTTGGGCCTTTGGTCATCTAGTTTGGGCCTTGGCCCAAGCTTGAGGAAGGGTAAAAAGGTCTTTTACCCTAATTTGGACTCATAGTGTGAGTCAGGGGCTAGATGTTAATGGGTTGTCATTTTTGGTATTTGATAGCGTGCGGATTTTAGCGGATCTGCAGTCAGAGATTATTCGTGGGATCAGTTGTTGATGGGGTGTTTTCTTGATATTGACAGTTCGGGGATCTGTTAGCCAGTAGCCATGGATCATCTGTGTGATTCGGTAGTGCGAGGTGAGCTTTCCTCACTGTACTTTTGGGTCGAAGGCACCAAGGCCGACCCTTTGGATTGTTATCCTGGTTTATCGTATGATTGAGTATTGTAGTGATCTGTTAGATCTGTATCATGGTAGATAGGATGATGCTATGCTTAGTGATCTTTCTGTTATCTGTTCTGGCTATATGTTTACCGGTTGCATGTGTTGATGTAGTGTGGTTGGGTTGAGACTGTATTGTTTTGTGCGGCCAGTCAACAAACCCGGTATATTTATATCGGTATGTTATATGTATGCTTATCTGTTATGTATATGTCGACATGGTTTATGTGTGGTTGGGTTGAGGCAGTCCTGCTTTGTGCTGAAGGACAACAAACCCAGGGCGGCCCGGATAGACTGAAGGCCAGTAGGGCGTACCAGTCAGGCCGAAGGCCCGGAGAACGGTCCAGATAGGCTGAAGGCCCGGTGTGGTGTACCAGTCATGCTGAAGGTTCTGTGAGCGGTCCAGATAGACTGTAGGCCGGTGGGACGTTCCAGTCAGACTGAAGGCTCTGCCAGATAGACTGTAGGCCGGTGGGGCATTCCAGTTATGCTGAAGGCCCTGTATGCATGTTGTCTGTTGTATATGTTATTTGTTGTGTGTTGGTATATATGTAACACTGCAGATTCGGGCTATAGTCAATCTAGAGATAATAAACGTTAAAAATGACTTTTTGATAGAAGATTATTTAGGATAAATAATCTTAACCAAAGTTATATTATATGTCACAAGGATTCCGTACATATAAAGAACGTTGAAATCCGACTTATAACGAATAAGTTATGACCCTTTGAAGTTTCACGATTAAACCAACACGAATCTGCGTAACGTAAAAAGTGAATTTTTGATAAATTACTTTTTAGCCTTAGAGATCTAAATGAAAGTCGTAGTAGACGTTAAACCTAGAGCGTGCATATAAAGAATGTCCAAATATGACTTCATAAGAGGAAGTTATGAATTTTTCAAAGTTTCAGCGTAACAGTATACAGCTCGGAAATCGAATTTTAGATCGGTCAATTTTTAGCCAAAATGATCTAAATGAGAATTGAATATCTCATTAATAGGGTTTCAACAATAAAAAGACAGCCGAAAACAGAGTCTGTATGTAAAAATTATGTAATATTCTCATACTGTTAAATTTAAAATCAGCAGAGAATTAGCCAATGGGGTCAAAAGAAAAGTTGTAGATCTTGTCAATACCTACGCGTGGATATAAAGAACGTCAAAAACGGAGCTCGTATGAGAAATTTATGAATTTTTTGAGATTGGTTGTTTTACATGCGTCCTGAGCCACGTGTCAGCACCAGGCGAAGCCTTGGCGCCTACGCAAGCTCACGACGTGAGAGGCATGTCTCACGACGTGAGAAGCCCCTGGACAGCCTATAAATATAGTCGAAAATCACTCCATTCTTCACACCTTTCAACTCCATTCTCTCCCAAACCCCCCAAGGTCCCTATGCCTTTTCTCTAGCACCTCCTAGGTGTTAGTAGCGAAACCCGGAGCGCCGGAAAGCCCTGAGGAGAAGAGCTTTCGGCTCAGAAGTTATGCACACACAGAGCATGGTTCCTCGCTAAACCCCCTTGTAAGTGAGTTATGCTTACCCTACTTTAAGTATAACTTATGTTTAAGTTCATTATCGTTATTATGAACCTATAAACAAGATTTATCAGTGATTCCAAGTCGTTATACTGATTGATCTACTTACGAAGATGATGTCTAGGGTGTGATTTAGTGAGGTGTTTAAAGTGGGATTTCCAAACAGTATACTTCGTATACCAAACAGACCCTACCTCAGATATGATCCTACTTGGTTGTTCCTTACTTGATAGATCATGAAAGTAGACTTTGAGTTAATGATGAATCTAGACTAATAATTAGTCGCAATAAATATTAGACTAAGAATTAATAATAATGATACTAGGTCTCGTCAAAGGAAAATACAATTGTTAGAAGCGAAGCGCTTCCCGAATTTCGAGTCGTCACTTTAACAAGTGAGTGCATAGTTACTTTCATCTTACACATAAATATGAAGTATCTGGATAATTACATGCTTATGTGCTTATTATCTATGTCAAGAATATTATGTGTTAGATAAGATATTATAAGATGATGTTTAATTGATTTAATCATATAGTATTATATACTTATAAATATGTATTGGGTAGTGACGGGTGATGAAGATAGGTGATGATAGAAAGGGATAAATAGGTGATGCGAGATGAAGA